GTGGATGATTTATGTTTGATGTCACACAAAATCGAAGACTTACAAGCGAAAACCGACAAATTGGTCGAAGAAGCAGCCGACGAAGACAGGACTTCAGGTGAACAGAGAAAAGACGGAGGTTATGAAAATAACCAACCAACAACAGCAACAACACCAGCAACATCCAGCGCCAACCACAATCAACGGGAGGGATTTGAAAGAGACTACTTCATTCACTTATCTAGCATTGACCATTGTCTCAACTACAGGCAGTCAGGACGGACGAGGATGTCAAATCGAGAATCGAATCGGGAAGGCGAGAAGCACATTCATCAACTTGAAACCAATCTGGAAATCTTCGTCACTCAGCATCAACAACAAAATTCGGTCGGATTTCCAATACAAACGTCAAGTCAGTTCTTCTATACGGATCAGAAACTTGGCGAGCGGGTCACAAAGAATATTTCCAACAGGCTGTTGCAGACCTTTGTCAACCAACAACTGTCTTCGCTGGATCTATATTGAAGATCAGATGGCCGGGATGGAAAGAATCACCAACAAGAAACTCTGGCTGGGGACAAACAACACAAGAACCAATCGCCTAACAAATATGCAGGAGAAAGTGGAGATGGATTGGACACTCACTGAAGAGACTGCTGGGTGACCTTGCGGGTCAGGCCATTGCTCGAGTGGAACCCGTAAGGGAAGTGGCGAGTGGGACGTCAGTGCGAGGGTGACATGGAGAAGACCATGTGAAAAGGAGTTGAAAGAGTATGGACTAACATGGATGCAGGTGAAAAGTACAGCAGAAGGAAGACAGAGGCAAGTGGAGACATGCAGTTTAAGCCCTATGTTCCACTAGGAACCCAAGGGAACAATAATGATAATAACAATAAAAGCAGATTGTGACTGGTGAGAGGTTCCTTTGCTTTGATATTAGTTGGCTGGTAGAGTGGGTTTCATATATTTTAACACTCTTTGGTGTCGGTAACAGATGATTGTTTTTAAAGTGTTGGTTTGCGGTGATCGCATTAGTTTGCAAGCGAAATCGCAAACTGGTTTCACTTAGACAATCAGTGAAAACTATGGAATGCTGAACAGTCCGCTTCGTGACTTTTCAGTAATGCATTTAGGACCTTCATGTTATTAGGCTTAGACATTAAGAGGAAATACATTATTCCATAAATTCTGAGTTCAGCAAATATACAGTATATCTGGCGCATTAATGAAAACAAAACACGTAGTTAAGCGAAGAGTCTCTTTTCCACGGCGAATTCATTTTCTTAGCTGTACAACCGAAAATACACGCATGTGTGTACATTAAGTTTGTCAAACAAAAATACAATTGGTTTTGGTTATTCTAACAAAACAGGTGAGAATTAGAAGTTTTGGGTAAAGTTATGTAATACAAAAACGGTCAGGAAAATTGGGTGTTAGTCAAAAACTAGTGTAGTAACAAAGGTGATGAGTTGTTACAATAAATTTTTAAAGAGGATTCAGTTGCGTAATATAATATGAATAGTCTGATGATTGAGTTGTCCTCAAGATAATCATGGTAACAACGTAGAGAATATGAAGCTACGTAAGAGTTCTAAATCAATAGAAAAATTATAAGCAATTAAAGAACAGGCAGACAAACAAAATCAAGTCATTAAAAATCAACAACATTGTTACCATGATAGTAGAAGTGGTTGAGTAATACAGTTTCGTCGTCTTTGTATCACTGAATTTCTGGCCATTCACACAGAAAAGTCAGAGCTGTGGATTAATTTGAGGCAGGCGTTTGTTGAGATGGAATGATCAGTGTTAATCAGGTGTTCAATTATCGCACCACTATTACCTTTTCGCAACCATGCTGGATAGCGTTCTTGAATCCCCTTTAGACAGGATGCGCGTCGAACGACCGATGTACCTGGATGACTCCACAGCAGTAGGTGAACTGATATATGCACATAGAAGTGATCAGATGCGGAATCTTGTCTTTAAGGATTCTGCTGAACAATGGGCGACTGCAGGACATTATTCTTAGCGTTGCTGCAAAGTATATTCTTCTCAGAGGGGATGTGATCCTACTCTTGGGAATATACCTTTGCTAAATTTCCATTGAAATCCAAATTTATGTAGAGTTTCTTTTTCGGTGCCAGTGAAATTTCATTCCTCTAAATTCTTGGTTTTATTATTTTTGTCTACGAATCTTGGTAGGCATCAAGTTTTGATGAAGGTTTTCTCTCAAAAGATCTAATTCTATTTCTAGAACATCGGGACTACGGTGCAGTCATCATCCAATATCACTGTCGAGTATGTGTCCTCATACCCACCTTGATGGACTACATTGGTCATAGTCAGTCACTAGTGAGCATTAGATTAATTTCTATATGCTGGTGTCCAGGGATTTCAGCTGCAGTATCATCGATTGGGGTACTGGACGGCACACAAATATCAATTCTTTTAAGCTGCAAGTACCTGAGACTAGTCAGTATAATAACGACTATCACCCAGTAACCGGTCAGCATATAAGTTTACTACGGATTAATTCCGAAGACTTCTTGATACTCATCAAAACAAAACACGTAGTTCTGCGGAGAGTCTCTTTTCAATGGTGAACTCATTCACTTGGCTGTACAATCGCAATTATCATTAATCATCTCTATATGTGTGTATACATTGGTTTTCTCAAACAAGAATAAAAACCACTTAGGGCTGTTGTTCACGTCATCAACATGTTTCAAAAACAGTGAAGAATAATAGAATTGCAAACAGACGGGGCAGTTGAGATTAGTATGAGGATAGTGGTGATGAGCTGTCCAAAAATCATAATTGTCAATGTTAGCCGGTGCATAAGAGAAGTTGAATAAGTGTAGTGTAGATGCGTAATAAGATGGATAATTTCATGTGTGAATTCTAATTAGGATGCATGGGAATTATGTAAGAGTTGTGAAGAAATACAAGAGTTGGAAGGAGTCAGCAAAGCACGCAATAAAAAAAACATCAGGTCACTAGAAATCAACACGATTGTTGCGGTGATATTAGAAGTGGTTGAATGCTTTTCTTCTGCATGCATAACTTTGATTTTTTTTTATTGATTTTTTTTATATTTTTGATTTACAGCTTGATTCCACACTGTATTTTTGGTACTAGTATGGAATTTTCAGCATGGATATCGGTAGCCGAAATTTTGCAGGCCGACCATAGATATCAGGTGTGCGCCGGCGTGGGCTCGAACCCCGGACCATGTGCATGGTCGGCGAGAGTCCTAACCACTGTGCCACCGACGCACACTGAATGGTTAAGGCTTCGGTAGTACAAAGGAGTAGTACAAAGCGTATGGCGTTTGGTAGGTTATTCCTCATTTTGTAGATAACTTTGAAGCAGGAGGTGTTTGTTGAGATGGAATGGTTACTGCTGACAAGGTGTTCCACCATCGCACTCCATATAGACCTACTACTACCTTCTTGCAGCCATCCTGTGGGATAGTGTTCTCGAATCCTATCGGACAGGATACACATCAAACGGCTAATGTACCTGACTGAATCCACAGCAATAGGTGAACTGATATATGCTCATAGAAGTGGTCAGATATGAAATCTTGTCCTTAAATCTTTTGCAGACCAATAGACGGCTGAAGAACACTACTCTTAGCGTTGCTGCGAAAATAAGGATATCGTAGGCTTAATCTAATTTGAAATCTAAATTCAAGTGAAGTTTCCTTTTCAGGACAAGTAGTTTTTTTTAGTTTCTTCGGCAGTCATGGTCTGATATTTTTGTCAGTGAAATTTGGTCGGTATCCATTTCGCATGAAGGTTTCTTTCAGAAGATCCGGATTAATTTTCAACAATTATTGGAATACAAGTGTTGGTTTGTAGGGATTTGATTGGTTTCAGGATTTCATCATGAGCTGACATTAGTTAGAGAAGCATTGGAATATTTTAAAGCTGATTCAATGATTCCTGCATCCTACATGTTTAGAAATCATTCAAAATTTCAGTAAAATGAACTTAGAATTCAGAATTTTTAGTAGTAAATTTAGTAGTTACAACACAATATTCATCGAGGAGACTCTTTTCAACAAATTTGTTATCAGGCTGTACAATCGTATTTACATGACTTTTCTTAAGGAATTATATCCGGCGAGTGAATTAAATCATAGATGTGAATGCATAAAATAATAATAATGGTAGTATGAAATGCAATTAAATTATTTGTGATTATAATCATAATTAAATATCAAATGGCAAAACAATTATTCTCACGTATGGAATAATTCCTAAGGTGTACAGATGTTGGAAAGGGATCCATAATTATGGGAGTAGTAGGCTAATACCAAATGTTACATAACATGGTGTGAAATTTGTTAAGATAGAATTCAATATTGTAAAATAATTATAACTAAATAATTTTCAAGTATTGGTTTTGTAGGGATTTTGTTTGATTGCATGGAGGATTTATGTCAGCTCATAACTAAATAAACAAAAAAACATAAATGAATAAATGTCTATCCCTCTACGGCTAAGGTAGAAGTAGGGATTCTGCATATTTCTTTTGTACACAAAGGTCTGGCTTAAAGTCAAGAAGTGCCAAGAATTCCGCTATCTTTAGAAGTCTGTGACGAAGAAAACGTGGTCAGCAAGTTAGCATAGATTCGGTAGATGATCTTAAAATCATGTTCATGGTTGACAGAGTGACAGGAATCGATCAGGTCTTTTAGAATAGAGATTCGTACACACTTCCTTTCTCCCTTGTAAAGCCATGCTGCTGGAGTGTGTTTCCGTATACGTGAGTGGAAACCGTTCTCTGACTACGGCCAATGTACCCTGCTCTACAAGAAAAGCAGATGAACGGATAGATGCAAATGGAGGTGGCCAGAAATAGGAGCTTTTTTAGTAGCCGCGTTAAATCCAGTTCAAAATTTCTCTTTTCCCTTTCGTGTTAAATTATTCTTGATATTCTAAATACACAATGACGTTCCCGAGCGTAACGATTCTTTTTTCAGTAAATTTTATTTTCTTTTTCACCTCTTCCAGTTGATATTTGGGAGTATTGTAATCATGTTGATATACTGTGTCGAGCAAAAAATGCTCGTTGTGTCAAAACAGAGCACAGTTCCAATGTAATTCAATTCTCCTGTCAATGTCTTCCTGGCTATATACCAGTCTATCAGAAACATTTGAATTATTATGAATGCTGTAAGTTAATTCATATGTATTATATTTTTTAAAATTTTAATTGAATTTTAGATTTTCCCGTCGATTGATTGATTGGACCGAAGTGCTCGGTCTCAGGTTGACATGTCGGCTTCTTGTGCAGATGCTTCGACGATCTGTCTGGTAGATGGTGACTAGCAGTGGAATCCAGGATGCACATTTCGTCCTATTTGGGACTCGTCATCTGGATTTACCTGCATTTCTCAGTGAGTGATGATGTTCCCACCGAGTCTCGAACCCAGTACACAAGAAGCCAGCATGCCAGCCTGAGACCTAAGAGCATGTGAATTTAATAGCAAGAAGAAATAATTTTAGAAATTCAGTGATATTTGGATTGGTCCAGTTCGACAATAAGCTGTGGTGTCAATTGTATGAGAAGAATTTAGGCACTACGATGGAATACAATTCCATACTAGTTGAAGGATTTCATCATGAGCTGACATCAGTTAGAGAACCACTGGAAAACCTGGGAGTACTGGACGGCCGTTTCGTCTCACCAGTTTGAGACTCTTCAGCAGTGTGCACTCACCCCACTGACGGGCTTCGAACCCAGGACCTTCTGGTTACAAGGCGAGCTAACTAGTAGACCTTTAAGCCACTGGGGTTTCATCCAGTCGCCAGTCCCTAAATTCTAACCTCAACCAATTCACAGCATAGTGCAAACACTTCGGAATGTCTTCTTCAATGAGTTAATGACTCACCTTCAACCTTCTGTACTCTACTAATCACGGCTTCTCACCAGAACCCCAGGTTAACTGCCAGAAGGTCCTGCGTTCGAACCCCGGTGGGCATGTACCGATGAAGAGTCCCAAACTAGGACGAAATAGCTATGCAGTACTCCCTACAGGTTTTCCAATGATACTCTAACCGATGTCAGTTCATGATGAAATCTTGAAACCAATAAAATCAATGCAAACCAACACTTGAATAATTATTTCTGTTCATTATATTCATATCTTATGTGGGTCAGTGGCATAGTGATAGAATGTTCGCCGACCACTCATTTGCACAAGGTTCGAACTCTAGCCGACGCAGTCTCTTGTCTCGTTAAGCCTATAATAAGACTGCGAGAGAGAAAAGGTTGGACATGAAGCTAGCAACCCCATCCCGTAAAAGTAAGCTCTAATACTGCCGAAATTTCACAATTCAAGCTTGACGCCCTATGTTCTACTGAGAACGTAAAGAAATCGAAAAAAACCAAGTGAACCTCCTCTCTGACTGTGGTTCCAAAGATATAAAAAAAAAACCAGAGATGAAAAGACATGATGCATGGATAACTATAGACAATGGTTTGATCTCACTTTAAACTGTTCATATCAGAAAACGCAACCATAGCAAAAATTATGAACCATACTTGCAGTTTCTCTCTCTGACTTTCTGAATTTATGAACCAAATTGGAGCATATATCGAACTGAAGTTCAAATTGTCCACCTGTTCACAAAATTTTCGACTAAATCGACATGAGATGGACTTGTTCGTCAGTCAACTGATTTTGATGTATAATCTCAATTTCTTTTTGATGTAGTTGTGTTCTCTGAACTGGATATTTTGTTCGCGAAGTTTTCATTACCTCAACACGAGGCGGCATTCTCACCTCAGAGCATACTTCAGTTTGAAGTCAGCTTTGAAATTTCCTCAAGAGTTTATTGATCATCTCTCCTGGTCACCTTAATCGTCGTGACCGATTGCTCTTGTCTATTTTCACGCCCTCTAGTCTACTTGTATTGGAAATAATTGTTTCCTTGGCTTGATATTCTTATCAATCGGCCAATTTTGTATTAACTGCCAATTCACTGGAATACTAGACTTCCGAAAATTCTCTAGCATCCTTGGTGTTTCCTCTATCTAATATTTGAACGTTGTCCCAGTCGAATTGACATCCGTGGTTGGCTGTATGCAGTGAAGCGATATGAGAGAGTGGATATCATGTATTTTGACGCCTAGTCTATGTTTATGGATTCGAAGACGAATGGGACGTCCACTTTGACCAATGTAGTGTTTTTCGCAGTTGTTACAATTTTTTTGTAGGTGATGTTGCTTTCATCTTCTATCGTTGTTAATTATTTTGGTTGACACAGAGCTGGCAGAGTGAAGTGATTTTATTACATGAAGGATTTCACCATAAGCTGACATCAGTTAGAGAACCACTGGAAAACCTGAGAGAGGTGGTTCTCTAACTGATGTCCGCTCATGGTGAAATCCTCCATGCAATCAAAGAAAATCCCTACAAAACCAATACTTGAAAATTAATCTGATGCTCACTAGTTACTGGCCCTATTCAGGTAGGTAGCCTGGGGTTCTAGTGGGAAGCCTTGACTAGTAGGGTACAGCAGGTTGAAGATGAGGCTGTAACTCATCATTGAAGAAGACATTGCAAAGTTGTCGCTCTATATCGTGATTTGGCAGAAGTTAGAATTCAAGGACCGTTGGATCGGGTCCCAGTGGCTCAATGGTTTACGAGCTTGCCTTGTAACCAGAAGGTCCTCGGTTCGAACCCCAGTGGTTAGTGCGTAGTGACTAACTAGGACGAAACATCTGTCCAGTACTCCCAGGTTTCACAGTGGTTCTCTAAATGATGTCAGCTCATGATGAAATCCTCCATGCAATCAAACAAAATCCCTACAAAACCAATACTTGAAGTGATTTTATTGATTTGTATGCGACATCAACCCTTAAAGGTTTGAAGCGTCTTACAGTGATTTCTGAGATTTTTCACTAGACCCTCCAAACCTTTAGGAATTGACGTAGCACACCAACTAACAAAATCACTTCACTCAGCCAGCTCTCTGTGTCAATCGAAAGACTCAACAACCAATCACGTTCAAGGTGACCAAGAGAAAGAGAGAGATGACTAATAAACTCGTGGAGAAATTTAAAAGCCTAAATTCAACAAATTGAAATATGCTCTGAAGGGTTTGTCTAGTGGTCAGGCTATGAAAGCTTTGCGAACAAACTATCGAGCTAGCTCAGAGAACACAACTAGATAAAAATCATCCACCTGAGCTACAAATCTTCTCCATCATATATTCTCAATTTCTTTCTCTTGAGTTTGACAATATTTAACTAATGAGCGATCTCTAGAAGGTTTTCATATGAATATAAGGGATATTTTATATTTAACTGCTCATAAATGCTTAATGTACACAATTTAAATCCTTTTTATATATTTCATCTGACATATTTATATATATATATTTTCTTTTAATATTGACTTTATTAGTTCGTCAACTTGAAGCAAATCATTCCAGTTGTAGGCCATGTTTTCATTCAAGTGGAAAATGTTATACAATGAATGAACAAAACATTGACTCATCAATTGGATGCTTGTGTCCAAATAATCTTCAACCAACACTGACAACATCTACACCAACCGATTTAATACATCATAGCCATACTAATAATGACAATAAGGAGAGTAATAACAATGATAGAAGTGATGCACGAAACACATTCATGACGGCTTTATTACCAACACACACAGGCGTTGAATATGAAATGTGCGGTGAGAACTTAGGTAAGTTTAAATCACATAGTGTGTGTGTCTGTCCAACGTGAAACTCTCCAAAATAGCTACATCGTGTTATTATTATTATTATTATTGTATTTTCTTTGAGGAGTTATGAGAAAATTTCCCAGTTATAGAACAGATTATATAGTCAGTTAATCGAATATGTCAACTGTATTCTCTTTTTCTTTTTTTTTTTAGGCGTTTGTTTTAACTGATACCGCTATTTTGTTCAGCGTTTCTTTTTAAATTAATCATGTTTCGCGTTAATTACTTAAATGTACACGAGTTCACTCGAAAAATTTAGACAATTATATACAGAGTAGAGGTATAATTTCAACTTGAAATAAATAAAAATAACTTTGGAAAGATAAAAACATAAGAAACTGATAAGATGTCGAGAGAAAAATGTGATAATAATAATAATGGTTTAGAAAAACACTGGAAAATTTATCATCGACAATTATATCCGACTACTCAAAGTAGTCAAAAGAAAACTCCAATTTGTTTGAGTTAATTTTACTATTTCTGGATCTTCTGCGTGATCAGTTAAAACTAATCGATTTGAAAAGTATAAAATAACTTCGACATTTTGCTTTTATTGTCATTAAAGGTTAAAGAATGTATTGATTAGTCGGCAAAAGAGTAATGAATATTCTTTTAGTTTGAGCAGTAGTCAGTAAGTAGTGTAACGCGTGTCTACTCCTTTTCATTGGTCACCATACCACCAGGTGGCTCGTCATCACTGTGCACCCTGAATTTTTGGTATAAGATAGTTAGAAGCAATCGGCAGAAATCCTTGGACACCACCTAGGTTTCGTGCTAGCTAGCACTCGTCATCCGGAAGAATTCAGTCTGTACCAAAGACACTAGTTACTGTCTAGTGTCCAATCAAAAAGAATATCCAATGCAGTCGTGCAAGACGTCAATCGGTGACGCGGATTCAAATCTCAGAGGGGACACGAGTTCCTTCAAGGCGGTTGCATATACTCCCTGCTGACTGGTGAATGTCAGCCAACATGCATGAAATCTAGGTCAGGTGTGGATTCCTGTCGATAGTTTCCGACCATCTAATAGTAACTAATCTTCTTCCATTAGCTTTTTGCATCAGTTTTGACTGAATTTGTTTAGTTAAGTTTGCAGTCGTGACGAATTTCGAATTGATCGTGATGGCTGATTAGCCCCAGAAGCTCAGTGAGTAAATTTCCTACTACAACACAGACTGATGTAGGTTTGAATCACTGAAAGGATTTCTAACTCTGAGATTCCTGGTGTGCCTTGCTAACCAATGCCAACAAGTAAGAAAACAAGGTTCAGGATATCTCGCCAATTGTTTTAAACTCTAGTGACTGTGGTGTTTCTAGGATGTGTGTAGTTGCTAGCCTCATGTCTAACCTCCACTTTATGCCGGATTTAACGCCAGATGAGCAGGGTGTAAGACTGCCCGAGGATGATGTGCTTCGTTGGCTATCATTCTATAACTGAACAATCAACTCACACAACAGTAGTCTATTTAACGGTCCATTAGCGAACCGAATCAGATGACCGTTTTGTTGATAAACATGGGATCTGAAACAGACAAATTTTATGACGCCTTATTGTTTTTCTTTTATTCATTTACTTTCCTAGTGGAGCGCTAAGCTTGAAGCTAGAGCTTTGAAGTTTCAAAAGTAGTGATATTTATTATCACGGGATAGGGAGTTGCTAGCTTTACGTTCAACACCCCCTCTTTACAAACGTAATTACCACCTTAGTGAGGCTCAAGAGTTCATCGGTCGACAACTGAACTCCAAACAGTCTACATAATTTTGGACAAATCTCATGTAGACTTAACTAACGAATCATTTATAAGAAAAGACTTCTGAGGTAAAGTATCCGGATGCACCAAAGCCAGTTTTGTGGTGAGTCACTTTCTGGGTAGGCCAACATCAAAGGATGTATTTAGCATGCAGCATTCTAAGCAACACAAATTACCCTAAAACTTTATCAACAGGTGAACATTCTGATCATTTTTCTTGAAATTGATCTCCATCTGAGCTCTTTTTTTTGTTATATCCAACATCAGTGTTCATGACTTAGATCGGCAGATGTTCGTAGTCAGTTTTAATAAGACGTCTGGCGATAGTTGGCCTCAGATAAACTGCAGAAGATTTGTAGCTTAGGTAGATGATTTCACTGTAGTTGTGTTTTCTCAGTTGGACAGTTTACTTTCATTGCCTCACCACTAGACAAAATCCTCATCTCAGCGCATACTTCAATTTGAAGTCAGCTTTGAGATTTCTCCAAGAGTTTATTTGTCATCTTGTCTAGTCACCTTCAACGTTGTGATTGATCGTTCGTGTCTGCTTTCACACCCTGTTGACTACTTGTAATGGTATTCATTGTTTCTTTGAAAGTTTGATTTTCTGTGCATCAGATTTTCCTCTTATCGTTTGGTAAGTCCTACCTATGTCAGTAAGCGCCTGATAATTGCTAATTCATTGGAATAGCAGGCTTCCAAAAATTCTCTAGCAATCTTGGTGTTTCCTCTGCCTAATATCTGAACGTTGTCCCAGTTGAATTTATATACATGGTTGTTTGTCTGAATGCAGTGAGGCGATATGAGAGGGTAGATAGCATATCTTTCAACGGCAAGTTTGTGATCATTGATGCAGAGAGGAAAACAGTGTCCACTATGGCCAATGTATTGTTTCTCACAATCGTTTCAATTGATTTTCTAGATGATGTTTGTTGTCATCTTTTTTTCGCTGTTGAGTCTTTTGGTCGAAACATACCTAAGTGAAGTGATTTCAGCGGTTTATGTACGATAATAATTCCCAAGGGTTTGAAGCATGTCGCAATGTTTTATGATACGTCCTTTATATATGATAGGATTATTTTCGTCGTTGTTTTCTCTGGGAGCTAGCCGATAAAAGATATGATATCCACTCCCTCATATCGCACACAGACGGACAACCACAGACATCAATCCGACTGGGACAACGTTAAAACAATAAACCGAGGAAACACCAAGAATGCACACATTGACCAAAAGCTCAACAACCAATCACTACGTTCAAGGTGACCAGGATCAATGACTAATAAACTCTTGGAGAAATGTTAAGCCTCACTTCAACAAATTGAAGAATGCGCTAAATATTTTGCCTAGAGTAGGACAATGGAATCTTCACACACAAACCATCCAGCTGAGAGAACGCAACTACATCACTAAAAAAAGGTTGGCTTTAAACCATAGTACTTAAATTGGAAAAAAAAGCACTGAAAAATGACTTGTTACATTAATTCTAGTTTTCCCTGATTTCAGACTTGCCTAAAAACGTTTGCATATGTAGGTATGCATGTAATTACACCGTAAACATACTACTGTTATGTCTACAAATAAATAAGACAAAAAAAAATACAATTATGACATGTTTATACAGTGCTGTTGTTGATGATGATGAATAATAGTGATGTCTCCGGAAGATACTGTGGATAGGAATGTCGTGGAGTAATTTATTATTATTGCTCAAAATGTAATGAAGCATTAATATATAGCATATACATATATATATATATATATATATATATATAAAACTTATAATAAATTTGCTATAGACACTTGATTTTATATAAATTGGCTGACTAAATCATTAGAATTATGGGTTTTATATGTTCATAAATTAAATATTATTAGTTAGGCAAGTCATAGCATCACTGATCAACAACATACATTATTTCAGGATTTCATCATGAGGTGACATTAGTTAGAGAACCATTTGGAAAACCATCTGGGAGTACTGGACAGCTGTTTCGTACGCACCCACCGGGATTCGAACCCAGGACCTTCCGGTTACAAGGCGAGCTTGTATACCATTAAGCCACTGGGACCCGATCCAATGGTCCTTGAATTCTAACCTCTGCCAATTCACGACACAGCGCAACCGCTAGCCAATGTCTTCGGCGAGTATTTGTCCTCACACCCGACCTGCTGTACCCACCCCACTGGTCACGACTTCCCACTGAAACCCGGGTAACTACCTACCTGAATAGGGCCAGTCACTAGTGAGCATCTCAATGGTATTCAAGTGTTGGCTTGTAGGGTTTTGATTTATTTTTTTGTTCAAATCCCTTCGAATCAACTATTGAAAATCAGTCCCATGCTCACTAGTGACTTGCTACAGGATGGATGGAGTTTCGTGTAGGTCTAGTAAGACGTCGTGACCAGTGGGTTCCATCCTGTTGGGAGTGAGAACAAACAATCGCCAGAGGTGACACTGGGTAGTGACAGTCGCACTAAAACCACAAAAAGGGAAGGGGTCCTAGTGGCTGAATTGTCTAAAAAGCTTGTCTTGTAACTGGAGGGTTTTGGATTCCAAACCCGATAGGTAAGTAATACTGAAGAGTCAGAGACTAGGCTGGTGAAACAGCTGTCCGTTACTTCGGTGGTAGTTTTCAATAGTTCTCTAACTGATATCAATCCATGGTGATTGCTAATTAAAGCAGACAGGTATAAATGAGTGTATGGAATAACTTTCATCTTAAAGGAAAAATAAACAAGATCTCATCTTCTGGATCGAAGCGAATGATGACTATATAATTTTTTGGTTTAATATTTACTTGGATGAAAGATTCGTCAGTGACATTTCTAAACGAATTCAATAGCTACCATTCTTACAAACAGACCTCTTGAATTACCACCTTGATACAGTTATGATACCTAACTAGTTGTAATTTGCTTTTAAGTGAATGAATTTGAAGTTGGATTGGAAGTTATTTCAGGGTTTATGAGAAATCTTCATATTTTAAAACCTGTTTTGTTATTATTTTCTCTTAGGTTCCTAGTGGAACATACAGCTTCAACAACATATCTCCAAATTGTTCTTTTTTTCTGCTGTACTCTTTAGCTGAGTGAAGTCACGATTCCTCATAATCTATCATCTCCTTCATTCTACCAACCAACGAGGGAACAGGCATAAAATGGACTGACACAAAAGACTTGGAGGATCTGGATTTCGCCGATGATATAT